TCTGCCCCAGGAGGCCCACGACGACGATGCCGACGACGGCGATGACGTCAGCGGCGGCGGCGGCGCATCCAGCGCTGGCGCTGGCGCCAGCACAAAGAGGTGGGGTCGAGCTTCCCCCCCACACACACTCGCGGCCGGCAAACCATCATCCGCATCCTCATCCGAGACATCTCATCTTCATACCAATCACCATCATCATCGTCATCACCATTATCATCATCAGCATGAACATCGTCATCATCATCATCATCACCATCAGCATCGTCATCATCATCATCATCAGCATCAGCATCATCAATATCATCATCATCAACATCATAATTCTCATGGTCATCATTAGCAGCATTATTAGAATAGTTATCGTTATCGCCATCGTCATCATCATCCTCATCACCATCACAAAACGACTAACACCATCATCTGCATCATCGTCGTCACCAACCGCACCATCATTACAACCAGTACCTATCATTATCTTCGTCTCAGCATCATCATCAGCATTCTCGACACCACCATGAACAGCATCATATTCAACAACAAAATCATCATCACCATCCTCAGCATCGTCACCATTCTCGCCATCAATCTCATCTCATCATCCACATCCCCATCATCAACGCCATCATCGTGATTGATCAGAATCCTCATTACCATCACCGTCATCCTCATCCTCACAAACAACATCATCGTTATCATCCCCCATATCGCCCTCATCGTTATCGTCATCACCGGAATCATCATCGTCTTACGCACCCTCCCCACCATCACCCACATTAGCATGTTCGTCATCATTATCTGCATAATCTTCTTTTGCATCATCACCCTCATCACCGCCATCATCACCCGCATCATAATCAGCACCGTCATCACCATCCTCAACCGGATCCTCACCCTCATCAACAACATCATGATCACAATCATCACCATCATCAGCTTCAACATCAACATCATCATCAGTGGCAACGTCAACACCATCAGCATCACCAGAATGATCGAGATTACCATTATCGACATTATCACATCACCATCATCATCCCTGCCTACGTGGTCATGCATTTCCACCACCATCGCAATGATCGGGTGGGGCGGGCGGAACATTATGATGCGTAATCGAGTGACGCGAGGGACCTAATGGGCGTGTCGGCTCGGGCGGGCGAATCCTATCATCACCACCATCATTACCATCAAGATGATCATCCTGATCCCAAGCCTCACCCTCATTCTCATCATTCCCATCCTCAACCACAACCACCATCATCATCAACAGCAGCATCATCACCAACAGCATCATCATAACCAACATGATTGACGTCATCCCCATCATCATCCACGCAACCACTACCAAAATCAACATCATCATCAGCATACCCGCCACCATCGTCATTACAATCACCATCATGATCTCAATCATGATCATCAACTCCCGCATCATGAATGAAACAACATGATCAGTAACATCGTCATCGTCATTCACATCCGCATGATCGTCATCCTTCCCTCCATCATCTGAATCAACATCGTCGTCTTCGTCATCATCATGATCGTCATCATCATCGTCATTGCCATAATCACCACCACAACTATTTTCTGGGGCACTTTTATATCCATCATCACCAACAGCGTCACATTCATCGCCATCGTCATCGTCATCATCACCATCATCATCATCGTCATTACCATCATCCTCAGCATCACCATCACCATCACCATCATCACCATCATTGCCATTGTCATCGGCATGGTCGTCCGCATTATCATCACTATCATCATCACAACCATCACCATGATCGTCGCCATCGTCATAACCATCATCATCCTCTCCATCATCAGTATCAGCGTCATCATCACCACCACTTATCATCATAATCCTCAGAATGATCGCCATCATTGTCGTCAACCGTCGTTATCCCTGTCATCCGTCGTCGTGCGCGTTGTCATTGCCTGCGCGCCGGCGCCAGCGCCTGCCGTCGTCTGCCACTGGCGAGGAAGGGTGGCGGGGGGATGGGAGCGGGGAGCGTCGGCGGGGGCGGGGGTGGGGTTCGGAACCCCCCTCCGTTGGAGGAAGGTGGGTGTGTGGGTCGTCGTCGTCGATGTCCGTCGTCGTCCTCGTCGCCGTCGTCCGCTCGTGTCGTCGTCGTCATCCGTCGTCATCATGACTACCTACCAGACCACCCCAACCCAACCCGGCGACCCGAATTTCGGGTTGGGGGGGTAAGGGCTCCACATGTGCTTTTTCGATACTTCCTGACCACCCCCCCCACTAGAAACCGAGGGCAAGTCTGAGCCTTGGGGTTGGGTTGGGGTGGCTTGGTGGGTGGTGACATCATCCGCCATCGCCGTCGTCATCCGTCGCCGACGGATTCCATGGAGCCTTCCTAACGCAAGGCGTCCCGGGCCCCCCCTTCGAGCCGCGCGCCGCGCACATGCCGCCGGCCCCGTTGGAGGAAGGCGGGCGGGGGCTGGCCATCGCTCGGACGTCCGTTCCCTGTGCTTTTTGTCGGTTTCGTGCATGGCTTTTTCGCCAAATGATCCAGGATGCTCCTTGATGGTCCTCGCCGAAGGAAAAACGCACACGTCCGAGCGATGCCAAGGTGGGGAGGAAGGAGGGAGGGGGGGGATTCGACCCCCCCCCATCCCCCCCAATTGCAATGCAAAGGGGGGGTGGAGGACGACCCCCCGGTTCGAACACCCCCCCTCCAGACTTCTATTGGACGCTCGCTCTCCTTGGTAGAGACCTGCGTTGGCGTTCGTCCGAGTTGCCGCGACGTCTCGAATCTTGTGAGTAAAGACCCTGCTTGATGCTCACACTCGCTTCGCGTGTCGCCTCCCGTGTCGGGGAAGTAGAGGCAAGTGGCATTTGTCAAAGTCAGAGCTTGCTAAATGGTCTTCTGATTGCCAGCTCACTTATCAGGGCTTGCGTGGTTGTGTGATTTTTTACAGTTTAGCTCCGCTGCGCTCCCACCGATAAGTGGTGGTCCGACACTCCTCAGTGGAATGCACAAGGCCAATGCATGGTTCCTTGCGGCGCGGTTTGACCTTGCGTTGGCGTTCATCCGATTCACCGTGGCGCCACCGAGCCAGTACGTAATTTCCTGAGTGTACATATATATATATATATATATATATATATATGTGTGTGTATGTATGTTTGTATGCGTGTATGATTGTATGCATGAGTGCATGTATGTATACTCAGAGAGAGAGGTCAGCACCGAAAACAGTGAAGGAGAGAGAGAGAGAGAGAGAGCGAGAGAGGCAGACCGAGAAAGAGAAAGAGAGGGAGACAGAGAGAGAGAGAGAAATATACAGCGATGATCACAGATATATACAAAAGGTTACACATCTCTATGCGTATTCAAAATAAGTATGGAGATAGGTATACACAGCTATGCATTGAGGGAGAGAGAGGAAGAGACGATAAGCAAGATCGGCAGAACGTACACATTTGAACATCTATATATGCATACATGTACACATCATGTACACATATATGTACATATTCTCAAACTTGCGCTTACGCTTAAGGGTTCTTATTTGATTTTCTGAAGTCTTTGATTGGGTATGCTGTGTGTTCGCGTCGTTGCCGCCCGTGCCACCTTGTGGGCGCCTCGCGGGCGCCCGCGACTGGGGGGTATGTGAGATTTGCGCCACGTTGCCGCTCATGTCGCCTCGTGGGCGCCCCGCACTTGGGGGTGATGTTGGACCTGCGCTCCGTTGCCGCCCGTGCCACTTCAAAGGGCGCCCTGCGCATGGGCGGTATGCCGGGTTGGCGCCGCGCTACCGCCAGTGCCGCCTCGTGAGCGCCTCGTGAACGGCCCGCGCTTTGGGGGTAGACCGTGGCTGCCCCCTATTGCCGCCGTTGCCATCTCGTGGGCGCCCCGTGCTTTGATCTTTCACGGAATAGCTTACACCACATATCTTCAACGACGCAGCTTCAATCACATAACTTACTCTGCACAGCTGACACAAGATAACTGGCATAACATAGATTACAACCTATAGCGTTCACCTCCAGTTCACACAGTGTACCTTGCACGATATAGGTACCACCATGTAATTTACACCGCATGGCGTGCACCTCCAAGGTCCATATCGCATAGCTTACACGGCATAGCGTTCACCAAATTGCGCACACCGCAAAGGACCCGCCTCTATAGCAAACACCACGTAGCTTGCACGACGGCGCGTTCACCACACAGCTTAAGCAGCATGTATTCCACCTCCACAGTGCAATGACGCTGTTTCGTGTTCCACGCTGGATAACAATGTGACGCTACAGATATCATGAGACTGGCGCGACCCTCACTAGGGGACATCTTCCAGCTGCGTGAACGCATTAAGTGGCATTGCATGGCATTGCTTGTACTAGTGGTTGGCATATTGCTTGACAGGGCTCAGCATTGTTTGATTTTCCTTCATGTTGCGTGGCATACATTCATTTTGCTTGTCATCACTGGGCATTGTTTGGCATTGCATCTGCATTGGTTAGCATCGCTTATCATTGTGGCGAGGCAGCAGAGCACCAAGACCAAGGAACAAAGAAACCAAGGCAGTCCAGGGAATCAAAGAACCAAGACCAAGGCACCAAGGAAATCATACCAAGGCACCAAGGAACCAAGACCCAGGACGCAAGGAGCCAGGACCAAGAAACCGAGGATCCAATACAATAGAACCCGAGAACGGCAGCAAAGAACCAAGACCAAAGAACCATGGCACCAAGGAACGAAGGAGCCCGAGGAAGGCCGGCCAGCCCGGCACCCACCGATTCACTTCACAGTCAGGTAAGAGCCACGAAGGCAAAGCCGAAGTGGATACAGAGAGGGAGAGACGAGAGATACGAGGGAGAGAGGGATAGAGAGAGTGATGGAGGGGCAGGAGAAGCAGACACTGGAGGGGATAGGGGGGATAGGATGGGAGGGAGACGGTGGATCTGGAGGAGGATGGGGGATGACGGGCTGCCCTCCCCGCGCCGGGCCCGGACACAGGACCCCGCGCCTCTCCTCCGACTCCCTGCCCACAGCCACGGGGGGATGCGACTCCTTCGCGTGCGCTGCCCGCGATCGGGGACCTTGAGCGCTACGACGAACCGCTACGGCACGGACGCGTCATGACAGCGTGGGCACTGGGCACTGGTCTGTGACACTGCGCGCATCGTCCAACCTTGAAGCACCGCCGGGTCCCGACAGCCGATGTCGCCCAAGACTGGGAGAGACAGGGAAACTGGTGTAATCTGAACCTTGGGCGCCCCCCGCTGGCATCGCAGCCGTGTCAGCGCGACGTGAACCTACCATTCGTCCGCAATCGCAATTCCTTTGTAGAGTCGTAGTCTGGGGGCCGCTGTCGTACCCCGTGACCATCCACAAAGACGACCCGCGGTGGCAAAACTGCTCTCGGGAGCGAGGTCGAGGGCTCCATGGTGGTGCGAGTGCAGGAGCCGAGTAGCAGCATCTGCGCTCGGCTCGGGAGGCTGGCACGCCAGTTTTTTATCTAGCAAAAATCACAGGCGACTGACAGCTGTTCGTACTCATCTGCTGTGGCAGGCATGCTGAAGCGGCTTAACTACAGTGATGAAGCCTAATTGCGAGCCAGATCACGTGCCACAGACTTGTGCCCATCGTGAGGCCGCGTGCCATGTCGTGACTCACTGCCCTACCGGACGTCCCAAGGGCTAGATCCAGACCCGGGAGCTCCTGTAGGAACGGTGTGCGGAGTCTCACTGATTTGATGACTCGCCTCGTCGCCATGGACCATGCCAGAACTCGGTGAATAGTCATCGTGGGCGACTGACCAAGACCCGTTGAACTTCTCCGCATAGGTCTGGAAGACCAAGAGGGAGGTGCATGTGGTCACGGCCATGATGCCATCGGCGAATGCAATGGCTGCATCCTGAAAGGCCACGCCGGTCGTCAAGGTCGAGAGCAGGTCGACATTCCTGGTTCCAGGCACCCCACCTGGCGAGCCCCACCTCTGCAGCACGCCGACCTGGTTGCCAACGTACACGTCGCCCGCCGAGTCGACCGCTGGCAAGGACCAACTGTTCGGAGAGCACGTGGCGCGGCCGCCCATGGCACGTCGGATGTCGGCACCCTCCCTGTCGCCAGCACAGTGACTGGTCCACAGCGTCGGCCCATCCTTCATCCACCGGATGTGCCCGTTGTTCGGATCAATGGACCAGATCTGGGAAGGAGAATTGAATGCGCAATTGAAGCCCATGGTGACGATCAAGCGAGTGTGAGCAAGCGCAGAGACCATCCCGGTGCTGGCGCTGGCTGGCGGCTCCGGCGTGTTCAGATCCCAGAGGGACCTGCCAGAGGTGGCGTTGTAGGCACGGACGAAGCCCCTTCCACCTTGCCACGTCCAGCAATTAATAAGGATGCCAGGTGCTACGTAAGGATTGCAAAATTTGCCCCCGTCCGTGCCGATGGCGTCCTCCATGTGGTAGGTCTCCACGTTGTAGTGCCTCATGCCGAGGGCGAACAAGATGTTGTGGCCAGGATCGTACACGGCGCCTGCATGGGTGTGCGTGCCAATGTCGCCGCCGACCTGAAAGCGAAGGGAGCCTGTCGCGAGGTCCAGGGAGTACGCCCTGCCCTCATAGTCCTGGAAAAGCACGGTGTCGCGCGGGCCCCACAGCGGAGCCATGTTCCACACTGGCGCAAAGGTTTTGAACTCCCAGATCGCGCTGCCGTCCGCAGCACTCAGGCCGCGCACCTTGGAATTGCCCGGCGTGAGGGGGTTGGTCTGATTGCGATACCTGTAACAGTACCGGTCAGTGCACCTGTCGGTTGCGACCACTATGATTCCATCCTTGCCAGCCACAGACCCCTTGACGCCAGCGATATCGTTCGAGGCCCACGTTGCCCACAGCTCCTCTCCACTTGCGAGGTCGATGGCGAACACAAAGCCAGAGGTAGTGCTCCCTACCAGCATGGAGGGCAGGGTGGCGGCCGCATTCTTCGACTCCACGCGCGCGAAACGGCTTCCCATGGCGTGAAGCTGCACCACGCTCTTGTGCCCGGTGCGGGTCCACGAGATGACGGCCCTGCTCTCCGTCTCCCCGTTCTCCTTCTCGACGGCGGTAATCATCCCCGTGTCGCCGGCTTTGTAGAGCTCCTTGCCATCCGCCTGATAGCGGAAGCCCGGCTTCACCCTGACGAGGTCGCCGACCTTAAATTGACCTACTGAAGGTACAGACTCGTTGCCACTGACCCAGTCAGGCCGCAGCTCGCGCTCCTCCTCGGCGTCATCGCCCTCCTCCTGGACCACAGTTGCGTCCAAGCGCCTGCTGCTAGCGAGAACCAGGGTGGGCGCCGCTGCGAGCTGACCTCTGGGGGCGTAACTCCACAAGATCGTGCCTGTGACGTCGAACTTCCGGATGGCGTCGTCGGAACCGATGTAGATGTTCTGTTGGTCGTCGATGAGCGGGCTGCCGACAGGAATGGTGTTGTACGTCCCACTCGGGTGGTGCCAGCCCCAAGTGACGTTATCCAAGAGGTCCGTCGCGCCGGTGTAGGCGTCCCCGTCGCGGTTGGAGGAGTCAGCCCAGAAAAACTTGCCGTCGCTTCTCTTCGTCCTCTTGACGGCGTGGCGCCTGTACCGAGTGACGCCCATCTTGTTCATCTTGCCCACCTCAGTCTTATCCGAAGAGCCATCGAGCATCCCCTCGGCAGTCGCGCTGGCGTACCGTGTCGTTCGCCCTGCCCTTTGAGCACCTCCTTCAAGCTTCCTCTCAGAAACTGTTTCAAGCTTCCTTTCGGAGCCTCCCTCAAGCTTCCTTTCGGAACCTCCCTCAAGCTTCCTTGCGGAGCCTCCCTCGAGTTTCCTTTCGGAGCCACCCTCAAGTTTCCTTTCGGAGCCTCCCTCAAGCTTCCTTTCAGAGCCTCCCTCGAGCTTCCTTTCGGAGCCACCCTCGAGCTTCCTTTCGGAACCTCCCTCAAGCTTCCTTTCGGAACCTCCCTCGAGCTTCCTTTCGGAACCCCCCTCGAGCTTCTCGGATGCGATGCCATGCCGCTCATTTCGTTCTGTCTTCTCTAAACCTCCCTCCAGCTTCTCGTAGGCAACGGCATACTTCTGGACGCCGATGGCAGCGGCTGGTAGCAGCAGCAGTAGGACAAGACGTTGGACACGAACAGGAGCCATGGCCGACGGCAAACCCCAAAGTCTCAAGAGTGTACAGTACCAACATGAAGTCCTGAAGCCAGCCAGACGATGCGGAAGCCGAATCCCTCCCACAATCCTCTCCCATCTTACTTCCCGCCGGCCCCCCTCCCACGAAAGCCTCCGAAGACCCCCAGGGACCGCATGAAGGAAGTCCTCCGAGGCCACCGGAGGCGCTCAAAGGTCCTCACAGGATCTCGGACACCCGAATCTGGGATTCATGTTGCTATAGTCTCCAGCAACTTTGCCCGCTTGTGGGGGTGGGTCGGCGAGTCCCCAACGGAAAGCTGGACTTCACGCAGGTCGAGCCTGCCCAGCGTTGCTTGAAAAGGCGGCCAACCGGGGGGGGGCATGAGTCCACAGTCCGTGCAACTAGCAGCCGGACCTAGGACAGAAGAACATCCTTCAAGAACTTGAGACCCTCCGCCAGCCAAGCTGAAGGACATTCGAGGGTACCCTCCCAAAGGATGCACAAAAACATCCAACAAGCACGACGAAGATCAGGGTACCCTCACCGAACCTATCTCGATCTTCTGCTTCGGTCCGACCGTATTCCTCCCATCCCTCGCCGTCCCCCCGCCTCCCTTTCACCCTCTCCTCCGCTTCCCCTCTCCCGTCCTGCACTCTCCCCTCCCAGATCCCGCTACCCTACCCCTCGCCACCCACTCTTCTCCCATGCTCTTTCCGCCCAGTTAGCCTTCTCCCCCCATGTCCCGCCTTAGCGTCCTTCGAACCATTTTCTCCTCCTCGTCTTTCTCCTCAAACACCATGGGCCCAAGGCGCGTAGATCCCTCTTTCGGCTCAAGCGCGTCATGGGTCCTGCCCCACCGCCTCAGCGCGGCGTGTTTGTAGCTACCCGCAGCTCTGGTATTATTGCTTGAGGTGCGCGTCGGCTAAGGGCGGGGCAAACGTGTCAGAGTCAAATTTAATGTCATCATGCTGCATGTTTCTGGCAGTCGTGGATGTCCGTGGGATCCGCCTTCCCCGGTTTGCGGAGCCTCACAGTGCATATGGCGGTCAATGTTGTATTTTGTTGCTGTCATGGTGCTTTGTGCTTTCGTCTCCGCTCCCCCATCACGGGGCATGTCACGAAGTTCGTCTACTCCTTGTTCGGCAGCCCGCGGGGGTTTTGGCTGAGCCTGGCCAGCGCAAGGCAGATGTATTCTGTTTTATTGTAGTTTCAGTTTATGTGTTCGCTGAGCCTGGCCAGCGCAAGGCAGACGCATTTTGGGGTGCCTGGAATGGTGTGCCATAATGGTGAAGAATATTCCGAGGAATCTGAGCATTTTTGCTTCATTGGAGTGCTGTATAATATTGGTGAAGGAGCATTCGAGGAACTGGTGCATGTCCCTGCTCGTCCTGCTTGACGGCATCGTGATCGTGGCGGTTGGGGGCGTGGTTCAACGGCATTCATAAAGGGCGCGCCGCTGGATAAGCCCAAGGGGGGGGGTCCCTACTCCCTACTCCCTACTCGCCACTCGCAACCCACTACTCACTACCCAATACTCACTACTCGCTACGCACTAACTCACCACTCACTACTCTCCACTCCCTACTCCCAACTCCCAACTCCCTACACACCTTCTCCGGCGCAGAAAGGAGAAGCGAGAGAGGCCCCCCCTCCCCAGCCCCCTTTCAGGCGCAAAGGGGGAGAGGGGGGGGGGCGAGGTGGGGGTTCGACCCCGCCCCCCCCTAAAGGGGGGGAGGGGGGGGGGTCGGACCCCCCCCCCTGGAAGGGGGGGAGGGGGGGGGTTCTGGGGTTCTGGACCCCCCCTCCTTTAATGTATTCAGGAAGATCCACTGGCGCACTTTCGCAATCATATACATGACGAGTAGCAACCACAGGTGCATAGTCTTGATCGCCCCCTGACCTGAGCATTGCTGTCTATGGGCTCATTTGTTCGCTCCGCGATTGCTCTCACTCACTCACTCCTCCTCCTTCTCCTCCTCCGCCGCCGCCCCCCGACCATCGTACTCTCCCAGTTCCTCCGCCTCCTCTGTACACCTTCCTCCGCCTCCTCTGCCATCCAGTCAATACCGCGAGACCGCACTGGGGCGTAGGGGGACTGGCTGGGGGGCGCGGGGAGGGCAGCACAAAAAGCTGTCGCGAGCCTCAAGCGAGATGCGCATGGACCGCCAATCCAACACGACGCAGCTCCCTAAGAAGCGGATTGCTTCGAGGACGAGGCGCCGTGATGATGTGGAGGAGATTGGTTTCTGACATCGCGTGGCGACCGTGCCAGACCTTGGAACGATTGCCACCTTTACGACGCGAACGATCGTTCCGGTGACTGGCCGGATTGAGGCAGCTGGTGGAGTGCAGCACTGAAAGCCAGCAACGGGGCGCGAGCCTCACGCGAATGCGCATCGCACTTGAAATATGTCCACCCAGCTCACAGGCCGTCATCGGTCAGCGTGGCCGTCCACAAAAACAACCTCGTGCGACAGACTGGCGTCGAGGGTTGGGAAGGGGCTCCAGGGCCCACGTCGTCGGTGCTAAATGCCCCCGTATCAGTGCGATCTAGATTGTCAT